TATTATATTTTTATTATATCATATAGATAAATAAATTGATCTATTAAATTTAAAAAAAAATTATAAACCTAAATTTTACCTTTTCAAATAAATATATTTTTTAAAATTTTAAATTTGATATTTTTATTAAATACATCATAAATTTTGGTTAGACATAACCAATTAAATGCCAGTTGATGTAACGATTACAGATTTGAAAAAATTTAAGTTTATATTTTTTATTCAATAATGTTTTTTATGTATATTTTTAAATAATTTCATAATAATAGAAGGAGGATGATTGTTTTGAAATGTTGACAAAGGAAACTTAATTTAATTTAATAATTAATCACATCTTTTCTAAGTTAGCTGTATTAATAAAATCAAAATAAGGGAACTTTTGATGCAAGAAAGAGTCTTCATTATAGCAAACAAAAAAATCTATTAAGTGAACTTTTGATATAAAGAGTCTTGTATATGATTTTTCACCTAATATAATATTTGTGTATTGTACTGTTTTTTTAATATATTGGTACAGAGTTTTTCTTTTGTTTTTCTTTTTACAAGTATGATATAAGTGTTTATTAATGTGAAAATTACATTAAATAAAAGGAAGTTTTATATTTTTATAATTTATTATGAATGATTTGTTTTGCATAATATTTTAAAATACTCGTATTTCATCTATTAAGATTAACTATTTTAGTTATTAACTTTTTTAATGAAATTGTGATTAATAAAATAAAATATATTAAATATTTTGATTCATTTAAGTAATTTGTTAAATACTTTATTGTGGAAAATATTTTTAATAGAGTTTGCATTTTTTTTCTTCTTAAATATGTTTTTAATTCCTCAAATTTAATATAAATTTATTTTTGATCTATAAAATTTAAAACTACTTTTTTAGTCTTGTAATTCTCATAAATCTTATTTTTGTAACATTGTAAGTTGTGATAGTGTCGTAATTATTTTTAGTCATTTTATGTTGTTAAGTTGAGTTGTTAATCAATGTTGTTAGACTTTAGGGTCTAAGGATCCCTTAAGAGGTTCAATTATAGTGAGGAGAGATCTCTGAACAAAGATCTGGTTTGAGACCTTAGAGGGAAGAATATATAAGGTTTATGTTTTGAACAAAGCCTTATAAAAAAATTTCCCTCTAAGATCTAGTGAGAGGATTCAAGAGAGATAAGCTCTAGTTCATGGATTCTTTTTCCCGTGAATCTACTCTTCTTCTATAATTTTTTTATTCCCTAGCTAATTTTAAGTTGCTTGTGTTGATTCAAGTTGTGGAGATTTTGAATCTATTCATGAACTCCAAAGAGCCCATTTTTCTTCTTTTATACCTTGGTGTCGAGCTACCCGAGGTAAGGAAAGCTAGATTCTTAATTCTAGTGAAGTTGGGGAGTTGTTGAATGATTTTTGTTAGTTGTATGTTGCATGATTTACTTTCAAATCGTGGTTGTATGTGAATTAAATCATAGTGGGTTGTAGTGAGAGTTGGGGTTTTTGGGTTTTTGATGAAGAATGTGATGCTTTGAGTTTATTTGTGGTTACATATCGATTATGAGTGCATATATGTGTTGATTGTGATGTATGCAAGTGTTGTTTGAAGTTGCATGTGTTGAAAGAGACTCATATTGGATTGGAATAACATTAGTCGTGGTTTGAATGGTGTCGGGCATGAGAATGTTGGAAGGTCTCTGACTTAGTGACATTAGACCCAAACTTGAGTGGCACCCAGCATGGCCAAGCCAAAGCTTTGTCTGGATTAAAATCTTAAGTTGTCGATTAAATAGCAACTAGTTGTACCAAAACAGTCTCCACCAAAACAAGCCATCAATAGCATGACACAACATCTTGCAGTTTATTGTTTATTTAATTTTATAAAGTGAATGATTTATGTGATATGTTGTTTTAATGTTTTAAAACTTTAAGAATTAAGAAATCATTATAAGTTTATGTTGTTTTAAGTTGAGGTCAATGTTGACCAAATTTAGAGAAAGATATTTAAAGTTTTCTTAAAATTTTAACTTCATAATTCATTTCCTTAAGAATTCTCAAGAGATTTTGGAGAGATAGGTTTTAGAGTTAAAAAGGGTCCTTTTCTTCTTTTGACTTTGTAAAAGTGTCCAAATCATTCCCTATAGTTAAGTGTTAGTGTATAATTGTAGATTCAAAGTTTGGGAATTGAAAATATAAGGTCGAGATGTACGACAAACTCCCAAGGAACCGTTGTTCTTTGTCATTATTCTTTTATTCTCGCTTCTGAGCAATTCAAGGTAAAGGAAGCTTATAAATTTAATCTTGTTGTGTTGTATTTATTGATTAATGCTTGAATTCATCAATTTGTAGTTATGTTGTTAAATTTAAGAGTGAAGAATCTTTTTTATTAGGCCTTTGGTTGTCTAGAGAAGAAAATTGGTGAATTATGAATTCTGGTGGTTGCATGTGGTTTTTTTTTTATGATTTTGAGTTGTTTATAATGTACATACGTGGTTTTGTAAGTTGCATGTTGAATTTAGAAGAAGATTTCAAGTGAATTGAGCCAAATCGTGATTCTACATAGTGCAGAATTTGCCTTCATGCTAGGCGCAACTTTATGGCGTCGAGTGTGATCAATAGTGGCGCCTCTCTGCCTCACTAATGATGAACCATATTTAATGGTGTCGAGTATGAGTAAGTTAGAAGCTTGCTAATTTGGTTACGTTAGGCATGGGTTAAGGGGCATCGAGCGCTATTGTATAGGAGTTCTTTGACTTGGTGATGTCAGACACATGATTATTAGTGTTGGGCATGGATTACATAGTGACTCTTTGTCTAATTTTCCCCAAGCGTAAAAGGATTGGCATTGGACGTGAGTGAACCAAAGGATATTGCCTCACTAGCGCCAAGTGTAGGGAGGATGGCACTTGGTGTGGACGCTAAGTGTAGGTTGACCACATCTGGCATGAGTATGTTGAATGAATATGAGATATATATGTTATTGTCTATTGTGTTGTGAATATGAGTTATATGTTATTGTATAGTATTATGTTGTGAGATGCATGATACATGTTGTAGTGTTGAATTATGTTGATAAAATGCATGATGCATGTAGTTATGTTGTGTTGTGAACTTAAGACTAAAAGAAAAGGTGTTATTTTAAAAGTTTAAATATCACATTATGTGGATGTGTTGTAGTGTTTTAAGAGCCCATTTCTTGAAAACCTTTTTTGAGTATAATTGTCTCTTAAAGTGGAATGTTGAATCTCCTATAAGTCCTTAGTTGATATTGTATGGGGGTTAGGTCGAGTCATATTAGTTTAGAAGCGGTCAATTGAGTAAGGTGTGTGAAGTTGAAGGGTAAAATCCTTAGTTAATTATTCAAAAAGTGCACAGTGTATGGAGGATAGTCATACTTTGTTAGCTCCAAAGCACCTCTCTCTATCCTCCCTCCAAGATTTTAAAGTTATGAACATATGAAGTTTGTTTTTCAGAATCTGATTTGTATACCTCAACCCTCATTAGGTCAACTCTCACACTCTTAAGCTATATCCTTTATAACTTATGCCTAGAGTTATGTCAACTCTAACCCCACCTTACATAGGACAAAAACAACAAAACATAAATCATCACTCTTAATGACATATATTATAAATATACATAATTAATAAAAAGCATAATCTTATAAGTACTCAAATATCAACTATAATAGCTCAAGTGCTAGTTTGAAACAAGTGTAGTAAAGTTGCAAATTCATAAGCAACGAGCAATTCCTTTTAGTTCTATATTCATAAGCATTTCATTTTAGTCTCAACATTACATTTTTTCTCTTTTTAATTCTTATAATTTTATAAATTTTATCTTTTAGTCCATAGAGTCCAAAATAATT